TTCATTCGGGAAAAATGCTGCACTCGCAGAGCTCAGGCGGTGCTGTATTTCAGTGCCTATGTTGACTTTTGTGGAGAGGTGGCTGCCAGGGGAGCGGAAATGGTCAAACACTGACTCAATTACAGATCCATACAACAGCAGAGCCTCCTCAGAGCCCTGCTCAGGAGTCCATGCACTCAAGGAGGGAGGGAGACCTCTGAGGCTCTACCTCAGTGGTTCTCAACCTGGGGTCCCCAGATGTTTTGGCCTTCAACTCCCAGAAATCCTAACAGCTGGTAAACTGGCTGGGATTTCTGGGAGTTGTAGACCAAAACACCTGGTGACCCACTGGTTGAGAACCACTGCTCTACCTCTTGGAGGGAACCCAGTTGTGCAATGGGTTGAACCCTTGTGCCCTGAGGTCAGCGGTTAGAAATTGGAGACATGAGAGAAGCCTCCCACAAGGATGGTAAAACATTAAAAGGGCTTCCCCTGGGCAACGTCCTTGCAGACGGCCAATTCTCTCACACCAGAAGCGACTTGCAGTTTCTCAAGTCGCTTCTGACACACACACACAATCCCTTGGAAGATGTTTGAGTGCCAACAGAAGGAAGGGGAAAAGGGATGTCTTCTTTGCAAGGACTTGATTTTAGGATGCCCCCTCCTTCAAGTCCCAAAGCCCAGGTCTCCCTTTGGATGAGGGGCGGGGGGGGGGGTGGTGCACAGGAAAGCAGCCAGAAGGGGGAGCAGAGACCCCCGCCGTTTTAATAGATCCTCCGAGGATTTCCCCGGGAGCATTATTTAAACTTCTAATTATGATTCATGCGTGTGATAATATTAATTTAATAATCAAGGAGCTGTGCAGGAAGCATTAACCTCAATTAAGCTCATTACTGGCCTAACCTGGGAATCCCCGGGGCGGTTCAATCTTCTGCTGCTGGGAGTGGGAGGAGATGGCGGGGCGGAGAAGGAACGGGGGGGGGGGGGCGTTGGATCAGCCCCGTCACTTGCCCCCTCGCCCTTCCCCTTCCCTCCCCCCAGAGGTGGACGTTGAGGGCCGTTTCTCACCTTTCCCTGCCCTATTCCTGGAAGGCGCTTCGGATCCCCTGCAAGGAGTGCTTTCCAGGCACAGAGCCTCCCCTTCCGAGAGCCCTCCACGCGTGGGAGGCCTTCGGGGAGAGCCTCCCCCCCCCCCCCTTGACCTTTGGCTGCTTCCGATCCAGACACAGGCCAAGAGGGGAACGCACCCCCCCCTCCCTTTTCCTCCCCCCCCCCAGTACCCCCGCCCCCCAGTAAATCCATCAAAGTGACCTTCCCAATATAACAAGGGCTGCTAAACTGTTTTACCACCACGATAAATGTCCTTAATTACCCGGAGATCTGCCTGCGCCGCGGCAGGGCGATGATGAATGGACCGAAGGAGGAGGTTCATTTGTGGGCTGGACGTGGGAAGCTCTAATTAAAAAATGAAGTTGGGGGGGGGGCTCCTCAGGGGCGCCCCCTCCCGAGTACTACCCAAAACAGGGGGGAATGTCATTTTTACTTTAGGTTGTTGTGAGTTTTTCGAGCTGTATGATCATATACCAGAAGCATTCTCTCCTGACGTTTCGCCTGCATCCTCAGAGGTTGAGGGGTCTGTTGGAAACTAGGCAAATGGGTTTATATATCTGTAGAATTTCCAGGGTGGGGGGAAAGAACTCATGTCTGCTGGAGCTAGGTGTGAATGTTTCAACAGGCCACCTTGATTAGCATTGAATGGCCTTGCAGCTTCAAAGCCTGGCTGCTTCCTGGCCGGGAGCATCCTTTGTTGGGAGGCGATAGCTGGTCCTTATTGCTTCCTAACTGATTCTGGCTATGAAAGCCTTCGACAACACAAACTATCTATCATAAGTGAATTATAGCACTATTATTGTAGAGTGTTAACAGGCTCATGATTATTTTCTACTACCACATAATATAATTAATATAATTAATATAATTAATATAATTAATATAATTAATATAATTAATATAATAATATAATCGTGTCAGAAGCAAGTCGCTTCTGGTGTGAGAATTGGCCGCCTACAGAGACGTTGCCCAGGGGACGCGAGAATGTATTACCATCTTGCTGGGAGGCTTCTCTCATGTCCCTACAAGCTAGAGCTGACAGATGGGAGCTCACCCCGTCTGGATTCGAATCTGTCCGCACAAGCACCACCACGGCTCTATTACATATTGCAATACAATGTCATATAGTGTAATATCATAATATAATGTTGGGTGGTGAAGGGGGAGAAGGCCTGTGGGGTGTGCGTGGGCTCAAGCACAACCAGCATCCACACCTGGAGGGGCTCCAAGCCTAACCAGGGGATTTGCTGAGGCCTAGCAACTCCTCCCCTCCCTTCCCAAATCTCTCGGCTGTCACTACCAGCGAGGCCCCCGACGGAGAGCCAACTTTCCTCAGAACAGATAAACTGGAGATGGCAGATGGATGGAGATTGCGCAAATGAGCCTCTAATTGACAATCAATTGTGATTAGGAGCACGAGGAGAAGGAGGAGGAGCGGCCCGGGGCGCGCGCACCTCCTTCCCTTCCTGCGGGTGGGCGCGCGCACGGAGGGCCAAGAGCCGGAAGCAGGATCCCGCGGGGACCCTCTCCTCCTTCCATCGTGGGAACCTGGCTCCAAGGAGCARCGGGCCCTTCTTCTGGCAGGGAAAAGGGGGCTCCTCCTCCTCCTCCTCCTGGGGGGGGGGGGTTGGGGGGGCTGTCCCCAGCCCCTCCTCCCCCCCCCCGCTTCCCCGGGCCCGCCTTGCTCCCTTGGGCCGCTCGGCTGATGGGCTAATCATGTCCGAGCCCGACCAAAATTACAGCTGATTGCTTTCCCCATTATGCCTTCCCCGTTTTAATTTCTCCTTTCCAAAGGATCATTGCTCGCGGTAATTGCCAAGGACCTGCCCTTGTATGTGTCACTAGCCTCGGAGGGGGCGAAAGKGGAGGGGGGAGGAAGAGGGAAAAGAAATCATTTTTTTYTCTAAAATTAAAAAGCTCAATTTTTGTTCTGACGCCCGAAAAAAGAAGAGAATGAATGCCAAGGATCGAATTCTAGAAACCTTCTGGCGGATTATTATAACTGGATATTTTGGGCTGCCCTATATGGCAGTGTAGACTCGGGCAATCCAGCTCGAAGCAGACAATCTGGATTTTATAGGGCAGTGGAGATGCGGCCTGAGTCTCCTTCCAGAGAATGGCCTCTGGGAATTTTTCCCACCTTGTCCAAGGCCGGAATCACTGGGTTGCTGTGAGTTTTCCGGGCTGTATGACCATGTTCCAGAAGCATTCTGGAACGTCAGGAGAAACGTCAGGAGAGAATGCTTCTGGAACATGGCCATACAGTTCGGAAAACTCATAGCAACACAGTTATCTCACGTTGTTTGGGCACGAGACTGAGTGAGCTTCTATACCAGCCCCCCCCCCCCCCCATCGAGTCTTCAAACTGTTTTGGACTTCAACTCCCAGAAGTCACCGCTGCTTTGGGATTCTGGGAGCTGAGGTCCAAAACACCTAAAAGGCGTACTTTGGGAAACACAGTTGGATTCCACTTTACTTGACCAATGCTGTGGAGTCTAAAATGACTGTTTAGCCTGCTCTGCCCAAACATTGTTGCTGCCTCACACCAAACTGCAACTTCCAGCATTCCGTAGCATTGAGTTCTTTGTTGTTGCTCTTTCGTTCAGTCGTTTCCTCATGGACCAGCCCACGCCAGAGCTCCCTGTCGGCCGTCACCACCCCCAGCTCCTTCAAGATCAATCCAGTCACTGGACTGAGTTCTTACATTGCTGTAAAACTGTATTCGTTCTACAGTGTAGCCGCCCCCTGAGAGTCCGCAAGACCAGGGTTCAAATCCTCGCTGAGGCAGAAAGGTCCACTGTCGCCCCTTCTGCACTGCCCTATATCCCGAAACCTGATCCCAGATTATCTTCTTATCCAAGATTATCTGGCAGTGGAGACTCGTATCAAAGCAAATAATCTGGAATGAGATCCTGGGCTGTAGGGCAGTGTAGATCCAGCCTGTGTGACTTTTGGCAACTCATAAAAGATAAAGGTTTCCCCTGAAATTCTGGTGGACTCTGGGGGGTGGTGCTCATCTCCATTTCTAAGCCAAAGAGCCGGTATTGTCCATAGACGGTATTGTCCTTAGGTCATGTGGCCGGCATGGAAAGCAGTTGCCTTCCCACCAGAGCGGTCCCTATTGCTCTACTCACACTTGCATGTTTTCAAACTGCTAGGTTGGCAGAAGCTGGGCCTAACAGCAGGAGCTCACCCCGCTCCCTGGAATCCAACCGCTAACCTTTCATTCAGCAAGTTCAGCAGCAACTCTGTTTCATCCTGGGACTCTGGCAGAGGGGGATGTCTTGGGCAAGTCACGCACTCTCAGCCTCAGGCTGGATCTACCCTGCCCTATATCCCAGAATCTGATCCCAGATCCTGGGATTTCCTGTTATTATTGGCGGATAATCTGGGATCAGATCCTGGGATATAGGGCAGCGTCGAAGGGGCTTCAGAGGGGAAAGGCAACTTCTTGTCTTGAAAAGTCGGAAAGGAAAAAGAAGACGCACAATAACAACAATAACATCCCACGAGAAACTTTGCATTTGGTCAGGAGTAAGTGGGGGGGTGGGGGATGCTCCAAGTGAAAGGAAAACAAACTCGACCCTTCGAAGGATTGAGATTTAAAGGTGGGGGGGGGGGGTTGCTCCGCCTCCCACGCCTGTCTCATGTAAGGAAGAGAAGGAGGTGAGAGAGGGGGCGAAAGGGCGCCGGGACACTTGGGGCGACTGGGGGGTCCCTTGCGGGCGAGGCCTGGGCAGCCAATGGCGAGCGAGGGCTAAAGAGGGCGGGCGCGGAGGAGCCCAGGACCCCCGAGGGAGGGAGGGAGGGAGGGAGGGAGGGAAAGGAGGGAGAGAGAGGAGGGGGCTGCTGCTGCTCCTACCTCCTCTCCTCTCTGAGAGAGAGACTGAGAGAGAGAGAGAGAGAGAGCCATGAACCTGCTGAGCGGCCGCGACGGGGCTCCTTCGGCAGCAGGAGCGGAGCCGGGAAGCAGCCCCGCCGAGGAGGAGCAGGCGCCGGGCTCAGGCTGCGGCTGGCGGGGAGGCGGCAGCATGGAGAGCCCGCCGCCCTACTCCTGCCCCGAAGGCGAGCGGGGCGGGGGCGGCGGCGGAGGAGGAGGAGGACCCCCCTTGGGCGGCGAAGGGCCGGCCTTGGGCCACCGCACCACCCCCTTCTCCGTGCTGGACATCCTGGACCCCAACAAGTTCAACAGCAAGGCCCGGCGTGCCTGCGCCCTGCTCTGCAAAGCGGCCGAGGAGGCGGAAGAGGAGCCGCGACGGAGGAAGAGCCCCTTCGCCCCCGGCAGTGAGTACCAGCCCCGCATCCACACGCACACAAGCCCCAAGTCCTGGGTCTGAGGCTTCAATGTCTCCTTCAGTCTCCTCTCTCACACACACTCTTTCTTTTTTTATTAAAGGACAAATCAGACTAATTGTGAGCAAAACGCGAGTTTATCGCTGGAAAAACAATTAAATCCCTTCGATTCCGTGGGCACGCCAAATGTGCTTAGCTGCCTAAAGAGGCTGCATAATATAACGAGGGGGGGGGGGAGAGGAGAGCCGGCCCTGGAGTGGCGCCTCGGCCACCAGCGGGTCGATATCCTATTATCGAATCGTGCATATCTCTTTCAAGCACCTTGCAAACCCCTCGCCTAACATCTAAATTATAGAGGGTCAAAATTCGGATAATTACTCGATTAAAACCTATTACACTTATTAGGGCTGCCCATCGACCGGGGAAGGGCGCGCGACCTGGGCCGCAGATTGCTTCGCCTTGCCTTGGGACGACGACCCCCCCCCCCTTTCATTTCCTTTCTCCCTCCCTCCACCCCGCTCTCCGCCCGGGACACGCGGGGAATCCGGGAAATCTACGCGGGGTGACCTCCAGGCTCTGGCCTTTCCAGGCTACATTGCACAGAACAGGATTATTCAACACTGCACTTTTCTGTAATGCAGCTTGAATCCACTTTCGTGGGAGTTGTAGTTTTGCAAAGTCTACAACTACAGCTTTCTCCTCCCAACAGAGCTGGTGTTTCGCCAAGCCACAGCTGTCTCAGTTCCATGGTGAAGTGGAATCAAACTGCATCAACGATACAGTGCAGAATGCGCTCGCTATTCCCTTTGGAGGCGGATCTGACAGTTGGCGGGAAGGAAGGAAGGCGCCCTTCGCTAGGATCCAGTCAATGTTTCCAACAGATCTCACAACCTCTGAGGATGCCTGCCACAGATGTGGGCGAAACGTCAGGAGAGAATTTCTTGGAACATGACCATACAGCCCGGAAAACTCAAAGCAACCCAGACAAGAGTTCTTTCTCCCACCCAGGACATTCCACATGTATATAAACCCCACTTGTCTAGTTTCCAACAGACCTCACAACCTCTGATGATGCCTGCCATAGATGTGGGCGAAACGTCAGGAGAGAATACTTCTGGAACATGGTCATACAGCCCGGAAAACTCACAGGAACTCAATGCACTTTGGAGCTGAATTATATGGTCAGTGTGATGCAGCTCAAACTGCCTACTTTTGCAGCGTCCGGAGGGATCCACACTGCTATATAATGCAGATTCAGAAAGCAGGTTAACCGCACCGAACTGGATTATGTGAGTCTGCATTGCCATATAATCCATTTCAATGCAGTTCACCTGAAACTACATTATATTCGTTTTTGAGTTCCTAAGTCCAACATATTTCTCCTCATAGTTAAAGCTGGGAGTCGGAGGCCCCTTCCACACAGCTGAATAAAATCCTACATTATCTGCTTTGAACTGGAACATTTGGCAGTGTGGACTCAGATAACCCAGTTCAAATTGTGGGATTTTCTGCCTTGATATTCTAGGTTATATGGCTGTGTGGAAGGGTCCTAAGGGAATGGAAATTCTTGCCCGAGCGGAGGACACACGGGTACCCGCGTCTACATTGGCCATTTAACGCAGTTTCAAACTGGGGTGGAAGAAAGCGCTTTCTCGGTACATAAATGAGCAAACCTGCAACCCTCTTGTGGCGAGGCCACAAACCCGATGCACTTTCGCGCGCTTTTGTGGGAGTTGGTTAAGCAACTTGAAAGCTAGCTTCCAACCGCGTTAAACGCTCGGTGCATGTGGAGACTTGGGGCGCTTCCACGCAGCCCTATATCCCAGAATATCAAGGCAGAAAATCTCACAATATCTGCTTTGAACTGGATTACCTAAGTCCACACTCAGATATGAGATTTTCTTCCTTGATATTCTGGGATATAGGGCTGTGTGGAAAGGTCCTTGGATGCTGGGCCGAAAGCGAGTAGCCCGGGACGCGCTGGGTTTGCTTCTGTTTTCTTTTTTTTTAAAGCCAAGAACTCTTGTCAGGAGGCAGCGTGGAGTCCGTCACGAAAAAAAGCGGTTCTTGGTTCGAATTTACGTAAAATGGTGTTGGTTCCGATTTAGAGGAAGCGATGGTTGTGCGATTAGTTTTTAGGTGTTTTTCCCCCTTTTCATCCTCTCACAAAAAGAGACCAGGCCGTGGCGGGTTTCAGCCTCGGTGGGAACTCGGGCGGAGAGTTCAGGGACTTGGGCGAGTCGGGAAAATATAAAATATTAAAATAAAAACCCCGCAGCGTCCCCTTTCTCCCCTTCTGACTTCCTCAGGGAATCTCTGTTCCCGGAGAAACGGGTCCTGGTTCCCCCAAAAAGCCACGCCGCGCTTCCCAGGCCTCTTAACGAGCGATTAATCTTACATCTACGCCGAAATAAAGTTTAAAAATAGTTGCTGCGGTCTGGTTTGTGCGCCACACGAAGTGGGGACCTGCCACCGAGGCTGGTCTTTGGGCCCAAGGACATCCTCATAGAAGAAGAGAAGGAGGAAGAAGAGGAGAATGTGGAGGAGGAGGAGAAGACACGAAGAAGAAAGAGGAGTAAGAGGAGGAGGGTAAGAAGAGGAAGAAGAAGGAGGAAGAGTATAAGAAGATGATGAAGAAGAGGAAGAAAGGAAGAAGGAAGAGGGGAGAATAATAAGAAGGTGAAGAAGAGGAAGAGGAGGATAAGAAAATGAAGGCGAGGAAGAGGGGGAAGGTAAGATGAAGAAGAGGGAGGAGGAGGTGGAAGAGGAGGATAAGACAAAGAAGACGAAGGAGGAGGAAGAGGAGAAGGATAAGAGAAGATGAAGAGGAGGATAAGAAGATGAAGAAGAGAAAGAAGGAGGAAGAGGAGGATAAGCTGACGAAGGCGAAGAGGAAGGAGGAAGAGGGGAAAGAAGAAGAGAAGAGGAAGAAGGAGAGAGGAGGAAAGAGAAAATGAAGAAGAGGAGGAAGAGGAGAGAAGAGGAAGAAAGAAGGAGGAAGAGAGAAAGAAGAGGAAGAGGAAGAGGAGAGGAGAAGAAGAAGAAGAAGAAGAAGAGGAGGACGGAGGAGAAGGATAAGAAACGGAGGAGGAGGAGAATGAGGAGGACCAGTGATGAGTATGAGTATTTATTTTCCTTCTTTGCGGCTCCGAGGACCCAGGCAAGGAAAGAATCCACGGGAAGCGGTGTTTGTTTTCCTCTGAAAGGAACAAGCAAGGGCTCCTCCGCCTGTGGAAATGTCTTCGAGTCCGGACCATCTTTCAAGGAGACTCCCCGAAGGGAAAAAGGCTCCTCTTAAAGAAGCCTCCCGAGCAGGGCGCTGGAAATGCCAAGGGACTTTTGGGTAGAAGCCGAAAACTTTGGGGCAGAGGCGGCGAGGAGGAGAAGGAGGCCCTTCCTGTCCCGCGCGGATCGGCTCCCTATGAAAACACCCCGGCGCCTCAGGCCTGGAAACCAAACGCGTTTGTTTACAATGCCGGGAGGCTTCGGAGCCACTTCAGAGAAGCCTTTCCCGCCTTCGAAGTGACAGGAACTCAAGGCGAACCTCTCCCCCCCCCCCCCCCCCCCAAATGCTTTTTAAGGCACTTCCCAGAGTAGTGAGGAATGTTTGGGTGTTCTGTCCCTTTCCCTTGTTGCCAAGAGGAAGGCGGGTCAAACAAACACTCGTCGAGGGCCGTTTTCCACCTTGCGAAAGACCAGACGGATCCAGAATAGAGCACAGCCACTTAGGGACACGCCATCACACCCCTATGTTGAAGATATGATGAGACAATGCTGCCCCGTCCCGCCCTCTCAAAAAAGACCCCTATTTGGTGGCCCCTCTTCTCGGGACCGTGACTTGGGGGCTGCAGATGAGGGGCAATGTCTGGAGGGGTGAAGGGGGCCTTTGGGCTTCTGGTTTTGTTTCTGTTTTAAAGGGAAACGCAGTCTAATAAAGCCGCGGGAATAACAGTTTCCCAGGGCAGCAGCGCAGGTTTCCAGCACTTGAAAAGTTACCTTGTTGAAGGGACCTTCCACACAGCCCTATAACCCAGAATATCAAGGCAGGGAACCCCATGTTACCTGCTTTGAACTGGAATATATGGCAGTGTAGACTTAGATAATCCAGTTCAAAGTAAATATTGTTGTAGTTGTAGATTTTTCGGGCTGTATGGCCATGTTCTAGAAGCATTCCCTCCTGACGTTTCGCCTGCATCTGTGGCAAGCATCCTCAGAGGTTGTGAGGTCTCACAACCTCTGAGGATGCTTGCCACAGATGCAGGAGAAACGTCAGAAGAGAATGCTTCTAGAACATGGCCATACAGCCCGAAATACCTACAACCCAGTGATTCCGGCCATGAAAGCCTTCGACAATATATCAAATATTGTGGGATTCCCTGCCTTGATATTCTGGATTATATGGCTGTGTGGAAGGTCCCGGAAAAATCCGCATTTCTAGACTGGAAAGTGAGGGTCTATCTAATTAATTCCACTATGTAACAAAATTTGAAAATAAAATGTGTTCCTGCTTTGAAGGGGTTATTTCCTATTTCATTGTGCGACAACTTATTTTGAAAGTAGTCCTCAGGCCCTTCCACACAGCCTTATATCCCAGAATATCAAGGCAGAAAATCTCACATTTTGAACTGGGATATCTGAGTCCACACTGCCATATATCCCAGTTCGAAGCAGATCATGTGAGATTTTATTCAGCTGTGTGGAAGGGGCCCTCAGTTATACTCCAGGTCGTGTTTTGGTGGCTGGCACAAACTATGCTAAATTGGTCGAGACTCCATAAGATATTCATTGGAAAAGCTATGACAGGATGTCCCGCCAAAACAAAAGTTTTTGCAGTTTCATTACTTTTTATGGTAGAACCAGTTGAGAATCCGGGAACCAAAAAGTTATCTTGGGAGAAGCAAAAGGGAAGACGGAGGGCCCTTCCACACAGCTGAATAAAATCCCACATTTTCTGCTTTGACTATATGGCAGTGTGGACTCAGTTCAAAGCAGATATTGTGGGATTTTCTGCCTCGATATTCTGGGTTATAGAGCTGTGCAGAAGGGCCCTGAGTCCACACTGCCCTATAACCCAGTTCAAAGCAGATATTGTGGGATGTTCTGCCTTGATATTCACAGCGTTATCTGGCTGTGTGGAGAGCGTTGGGGAACTTTCACAAAAAAGGTGCGTCCCTGAGGAAAGTCAGGAGAGGGCGGGGAGGGAATCGGAAAATCTCACGAGGGTGTTGTTGTGTGGACTCCGGACTCTTTGGCCGTCGTCTAGCAGCATTTTCGGGGAGAGAGCGGATGAGCTCCCTCTATCAGCTCCAGCTCCTCATGCGAGGACATGAGAGAAGCCTCCCACAAGGATGTTAAAACATCACAACATCCGAACGTCCCCTGGGCAACGTCCTTCCAGATGGCCAATTCTCTCACACCAGAAGCGACTTGCAGTTTCTCAAGTCGCTCCTGACACGACCAAAAAAATTCTCCTGACGTTTTCGCTTACATCTGAGGATCTTCTAAAGATGCCGGCCACAGATGCAGTCGAAAGTCCAGGAGAAAGTGGTGCTAGAACACGGCCACACAACACCCCCAAATATATTGGGCTGTCGGGTGGCCGTGTCCTAGCAGCATTCCCCGAACCCCGAACCCGTTTCCTTGTTGAGGGAGAGAGTTCAGTGTGTAGAGCAATTGCTGCCTTGGGTTGCGCTGAGTGTTCCGGACTATATGGCCATGTCCCAGTAGCATTATTTCCTGACATTTTGCCTGCATCTACAGCAGGCACCCTGAGAGGTTTTGAAGTCTCACAACCTCAGAGAATGCCCACGAGACGTCAGGAGAGGATGTTTCTGGGACATGGCCATACAGCTCGGAAAACTCACAACAATTTAGGGCCTTTCCAAACATTATATCCCAGAATATCAAGGCGGAAAATCTCACATTGTCCGAGTGTGGACTCAGCTAACACAGTTCAAAGCAGGTAGTGTGGGATGATTTCCTTGATATTCTGGGATATAGGTCTGTGTGGAAGGGGTCATGAAAGCCTTCGACAATACATTAATTGCTGCCTTCCAACTTTATTTTTGTGTGTCAGGAGCGACTTGAGAAACTGCAAGTCGCTTCTGGTGTGAGAGAATTGGCCGTCTGCAAGGACGTTGCCCAGGGGATGCCTGGATGTTTTGATGTTTTATCATCCTTGTGGGAGGCTTCTCTCATGTCCCCTCATGCCTTCCAACTGCATGAGGGCCTATTTGAGGAGGTTTGTGAGGTAATTGGGGGGAAGACTGCGGAGGCCTGACGCTTTCCCGCCTTTTTCTTCTGCGCAGAGTTGTACCGGAGTGAGGAGGAGGAGGAGGCCCCGAGTCTCCACCGGAGGAGCCCCGAAGCGCCTGAGGAGGAAGAAGAGGAGGAAGCGGGAGAAGAAGAGGAGGAGGAAGAAGAAGAAGAGGAAGGGGGAGCGGGGTTGTGTGGCCACAGTGAGAGCGCCCTTCAGGTCGAAGAGGAGGAAAGGGGGAAAGGCGGAGAGCAGCCCCCTCCACAGCCTTCTCCTCCTCCTCCCCCTCCCTCGCAGCAGCCTCAAGCGGGCCCTAACCCCCCGCCGCCTTCTTCCTCGTCCTCCTTGTCGTCCTCTTCCTCCTCCTCGTCGTCGTCGTCGAAGGCGAAGCGGAAGCGGCCGGGCTCGGACTCCAAGTCGGGGAAGCCCCGCCGGGCGCGGACGGCCTTCACGTACGAGCAGCTGGTGGCGCTGGAGAACAAGTTCAAGGCGACGCGGTACCTGTCGGTGTGCGAGCGCCTCAACCTGGCCCTCTCGCTCAGCCTCACCGAGACCCAGGTCAAGATCTGGTTCCAGAACCGGCGCACCAAGTGGAAGAAGCAGAACCCGGGCGCCGACACCAGCGCGCCCACCGGCGGGGGAGGAGGCGGCGGCGGCGGCGGCTCGGTGGGAGGCCTCTCCGGCCCGCTCAGCCCGCTCAGCCACTCCCCGCCGCTGGGGGCCCACGGGCTGGCGCTCCACGCGGGGCCCGGCGCCTACGCCACCCACCCGGGCGCCGGGGGCCTGGTCTGCGCCGCCCCGCTGCCCTTCCTCCCCGGCCCCGCCGTCCTCTCGCCCTTCGTGCTCGGCTCCCAGGGCTACGGCGCCCCCGCCGCCTTCTACGCGCCCCACCTCTGAGCCCACGCCGCGGACACCAGGACGCTTCCCCCGCTCGGCCCTCGCCGCCCCGCCCACTCGCGGGCCCAGAGCCCGGCCCGGCCCTTGCTTCCTCAAAAGCGCGGGAAGAGAGGCCCGCTTTGGGAAAAGAACTCTATTTCGGAACCAAACTTTTGTAATAATGTGTCTGTATATAGACTGTGTACATATATATATATAAAGTCCGAAGGAAGTGACCGGAAAGCACTTTGCTGCGAATAATACTAATACTACTAATAAAAGAATGAATGGGGGCGTCGAGGCTGCTTTGTCCCAAGGGCGGGCTCGCCTCCTTCCCCCTCCACCAGCCCTGACTCCCTTTGCTGCTTCTTGCTCCTCCAAGTGGAGCCAGATTTTTGCAATATGAGAAGGAACCGCTCGCGGTTTGAATATTTCCAATTTGCTCCTATTTTGGTCCTGAATAGGGAGCCAATTCCCACACCAAAAACTAAAATGTAGAACGGGAGTTAATGCGGAATTGCGACCTATAAGCGAAACGATTCCGGCGCTCTTTGTAGTGAAACGAAGACAGGGAAAGGCAGTGATGGGGCTTTCCTATTATATTGATTTTTTTAAAAATCCCTCGTCATTTCAGTAATGATTAGAAGCCCTTCATGGCTCAACATTATCAGCCATTAAGTATTAATATTAATTAATAATATTAAGTGATAATAATAACTAATATCTATAATAATAATATAATAACTAATATCTAACAATATAAATATTATTAAGCTATGACTAAATAATGATATCTATTAATAATTATCAAGTGATAACATTAATAGTATAATAATAATATCTATAATAATAATATAATAATAACTCTATATAATAATATAATAACTCTATAATAATCTCTAACAATATAAATATTAAGCTATGATTAAATTATGATATCTTAATAATTATCAAGTGATAACATTAATAGTTCTTAAATAATAATAGTAATATCTAATAATAATATCAACATCAAAAATATTATTAAGTAATAATATCTATTAATAATCACGTTAGTAGTTTAATAATATAATAATATTATAATAATAATAATATTATAATAATAATATAATAAGTAATAATATTGATATGTATTATTATTTAAGCTATTATTAAATAATATCTATTAATTATGAAGCAATAACATTAGCATTATTTATTTATTTACTTAAAATATTTGTATACCGCTTTTCTCACCCCGAGGGGGACTCAAAGCGGTTTAATAGTTATTAAGTAATAATATTGGTATTCTATATTACTATTATTAAGTAATAATATCTATCAATAATTATGAAGCAATCATGTTAATAGTTATTAAGTAATATTGGTATTCTATATTACTATTATTAAGTAATAATATCTATCAATAATTATGAAGCAATCGCGTTCAATAATAGTAATAATAAGTAATAATATTGGTATCTATTATTACTAAAGTTATTAAATAGTAATAACAATTATGAAGCAATAACATTAATAGTTATTAAGTAGTAATATTGGTATTATTTATTACTATTTTAAAGTAATAATATCTATTAATAATTATGAAGCAATCATGTTAATAGTTATTAAGTAATATTGGTATTTATTATTATTAAAATTATTATTACATAATGATAACAATTATGAAACAATAACATTAGTTATTAAGTAATAATAGTTATATGTAATAATAATAATATCAACATTAAATTATTAAGTAATAACATCTATTAATAATTATGAAGCAATCACATTAATAGTAATTTAAAATATTTATTAAGAAATAGTTATTAAGAAATAGTTAACCCCAGCTTCTGCCAACCTAGCAGTTCAAGAACATGCAAATTTGGGTAGATTTAGGTACCGTTCCTGCTGGGAGGTAAGGGCGCTCCATGCAGTCATGCCGGCCACATGACCTTGGAGGTGTCTACGGACAACGTTGCTCTTCGGTTTAGAAATGGAGATGAGCACTAACCCCCAGAGTCGGACACGGCTGGACTTAATGTCAGGGGAATACCTTTACCTACCTTTACCTTCACCTTTAAGAAATAATATTTGTACTATTTCTTATTAAATTATGTAATAATATCTATTAATATTATTAGATAATCATATTGTTGATTCATAAGGACTTACATAATTCGACCCTTCCTCCGGGCAAAGTTGTGTTCAGTCCCACCCATCCCCCCCCCCCCAATTGTAAGCCGGGTTTCCATCCCAGGGAAAAGTTGACCTTTGGGGGGGGGGTTATGGGGCTCCACCTCCATCCTCTTGAAATCGCAGAGCCTGCCTTTGGCCGCTCTCTGTAACCCTCTCTCTGTAACCCAGTGGCGCCCAGTTGCCCTCCGACGTCAAGCGACCCTCTTGGTTTCCTTGGGAAGAGTTCTGCCTGCCTCCGTCTCCCTCTGAGGCCGAGAGAGTGTGCCCTTCCCGTTGGGCTCCCGCGGCTGAGCCGTGAAGAAAAAGAGGCGCGTGTCAGGGGGAGCGAGGGGGTGCCGCACTTCAGGAGCCAGAACCAGTCGCAAAAAGCTTTGCTTAAGAGAACTGTTACAGGAGAGGCTGGCACACGTCCTCCACCTGGGCCAAACTCCTTCTGTGAGAACAAAGGGGAATTCCAGGAAGGGGGCGGGAAACCTGACAAAATAGTGTCACCTTAAGCGGATCGGTGGAAACATCAAAGGTGGGGCAGGAGAGACGGAGAAAGCGGGTGGGTCAAAGTATGGGCTTCCCTGCAATCTTTCTAAAACCCTATCTACTGATCTATCCATTTCCCACCATGCGGGCTTTTTTCTGATGGAGAATCCCACCCGACCCAGGATTTCCTAGACTGCGGGGCTGCCTCACTCTCCTCCAAAAGCTGCTCTTCCTTCCTCCGCTTTTCTTTCTTTCTCTTCCTTCTTTCCTTCCTTCTTCTTTCCTTCCTTCCTTCCTTCCTCTCCTCTCCTCTCCTCTCCTCTCCTCTCCTCTCCTCTCCTCTCCTCTCCTCTCCTCTCCACTCCACTCCACTCCTCTCCTTCCTTCCTTCCTTCCTTCCTTCCTTCTTTCTCTTCTCTCCTCTCCTCTCCTCTCCTTCCTTCCTCCTCCTTCTTCCTTCCTTCTTCCTTTCTTCCTTCCTCCCTCCCTTCTTTCTTCTTCCTTCTTTTTCTTCCTCCTTCTCTCCTTTCCTCCTCCTTCCTTTTCCTTCCTTCCATCCATCCATCCTTCCTTCCTTCTTTCCTTCCTTCCTCCTTCCTCCTTCCTCCCTCCTCTCCTCTCTCTCCTTCCTTCCTCCCTCCCTCTCTCCCTCCTTCCTCCTTCCTTCCTTCCTCTCTCCTTCCTCCCCTCCCTCTCCCTTTTCCTTCCTTTCCTTCTCTCCTTCCTTCCTCCTTCCTCTCCTCCCTCCCCCCTTCTTCCTCTCCTTCCTTCCTTCCTTCCTTCCTTCCTTCTTCCTTCCTTCCTTCCTTCCTTCCTTCCTTCCTTCTTCTCTTCTTTCTTCACTCTTCCTTCCTTCCTTCCTCCCTCCCTCCCCCCTCCCCTCCTCTCCCCCTCCCTCCCCCCCTCCCTTCTTCCTCTCCTCTCCTCTCCTTCCTCTTCAGCCCGAGTGGGAGTCAAAGTAGCTTGGGCTCATCGCCTACCTTTCTGAAGCTCCTCCAGACGCGAGATAAGTACGCAGGCGTATCACAGTACCAAAAACTTCCTTTGGGATGCCTTTCCTTACCACCATTGATGTTGTGCTTCCTGTCGCTGAGTCTCCTTTTTGGAGAGAAAAACATCATCATTATCAACAACAACAACAACAACAATAACAAGCATCCTAAATGAATGTTTGGTCTTATTCTAAGGTGTATGGAAGACTATCAAATGAGGAAGGAATGTAAAAACTTCGGAGGACTAAGCGGGTCCTGATCCTGGTGGATGACATAATATGCAATTCCAACCAAGACCTTTCTAACTTTGCTTGGCGAGGTAAGAGGCTTAGAGTCCGATTGGGAAGTACTACAAGATGCAAAACAAAGAGGAGGTTTGAGCCTCCCAGATCTCCCAGGCTGTTTAGTTTGGATGAAAGATGGAGTTGGATGGGGTTTGGAATGAGATTTCTTTGCTGTGATCAACTGTCGGGCAAATGCACAGTTTAATAACAGCCCAACCAACAACAAAAAATCCTTAGTGTCATGGTTTTTGGGCTGTTTCTGGGGTTATTTGACGCATATATTCAAAAGAAGTTGCATCGTGTGTGTGTGTGTGTGTGTATATATATATAATGAGAGAGAGCTGATGAGTACAAGCACATACAATGCATGTGTGAATACATTATGTGCCTTTCAAGTCACCTCTTTTACTTGGGCAATCACATGAATTTCATAGAATTTCTTCAACAAGAGATACTTAAGAGGCCATTTGGCATTGTCTTCCTCTGAAATGCAATCTAAAGTACCTGCATATTCCTTAGCAATATCCCACCCAAGTACTAGCCAGGTCCTGCTTGGCTTCTAAGATCAGGTGGGAAGAGGTGCCTTCAAGTTATTTAGACGTGTATATGTAGGTGCATATTTGTATATCTTCTTTTGTCTTCAACTACTAGAAAGAAGTCATGCCCTCTGAAGAGCAGTTTAAAGAGCAGAAGAGAAGGTTAGAGAAGACATGAGAGCCATATTTTCATATATGAAAGGCTGTCAGGAGGAAGAGGGAACAGGCTTGTTTTCTGTTGCCCTTGAGAATAGGACTGGGAGCAATGGGTCCAAATTACAGGAAAGGAGAATCCACCTTAGGAAGAACTTTCTGACTGTAAGAGCAGTTCAACAGTGGAACTCTCTGCCCCAGAGTCTGGTGAAAGCTTCTTCTTTGGAGGCTGTTGGGTGTGTGCTTTGAATTTGTTTTTTCTGCGTGGCAGAGGGTTTGGACTGGATGACCCAAGTGGTCTCTTTCAGCTTGAGAATACTATGGTTCTATTATTCTATTATGTGGGAAACTTGACCTAGAAGGGCTATTTAAAATATGAGATAAGGACTGCAGTGGTCCCT